ATGATCATCATCATCATCATCATCATCATCATCATCATCATCATCATCATCATCATCATCATCATCATCATCATCATCACCGTCATCATCACCATAATCGCAACCATCAGCATCACCACACTAAGCATCATGATCATCGCCATTCATAGCTAGCAGAGGCAGTACCATCACCAGCATCATCATCAGCATCAGCATCGTTATCAGCATCCTCATCAACATCATCACCATCATCAGCACCTCGTCGTCATCAATATCCATCATCGTCCTCGCCTTACTGTCCTGGTCGGCCTCGTCCCTATGCACCCCAAAACTCATAGAGCAAGAGAAAATCCTGGAGGCAGCTGCGGCCCCAAAGACGCACGAAAAGTACACCGAACAAGACACGCCGAAAACGCGTCGACCCCCCCCGAGGACCGACGGCAGGGAGGCCCCCATCCAAACCTCAGACGCCGTAGCGTTTCAACACAGAGACCCCGAATCGCACGGCGTCTTTCCAATGTGCAAGTGTTTCATCCCAGAGCGGCTCGTTACGGCCCAAGGGCCCGAAACTGACCCCCAGACTCCGAGATTGCAAGGAACACGCGCGCCCATACAGATAGCACGACGCTAGATCGATGGATGATGCACCCATCGAATTAGACCTGGAGATGGCCAGGGGCGCAGCCTGGTCTGATTTGCGATGTGGATCCTGTCGTTGCGGCAAGGCCGCCGTGGGAGGCCCAAACGTGTGTTAAAACAGCCTGGGGCGTCCATCATGGTGCCTGGACCCCTGAGTTTTGCACAACAGAGCGGGGCCTAGGGCCCAAACGCTGCTCGTAACAACAAGATGTGCCACAAGGACAGCCCGTGAACCGTAAACAAGGACGAACCAAGATACTTCTGCTTCGTGACGATGCGTCAAGGGGGCATTTTCCATTTGTAGTGATCAACGCTCCTCCTCCTCCTCCTCATCCGCCTCCTCCCTCGGAAAATGATCCTCCCCCTTCCTCTTGATTTGCAGAGGAGGAGGAAAACGATGCCGACGACGGTCGCCTCTGGAGATTCCCAAGCAGGCCCCCAGGGGTCCAGAACATGCAAAAACGCTTGACACCCGACCGATTGACGACGACGACGACCACCACCACCACCACCTTGCCATCGCTCGGACGTCCAGTCCCCGAGTGTTTGTTTTCGTGCGTGTTGTTCCCCGACATCCCAACGACATCAACAACGGCGCAGTCGTCATCTACTTGCGAATCCTGAGGCGAGTTGGAGGACACATTGGTGCGACCCAGATACGAGCGAACCATGGGGCATGCCAGCCGAGCCGAGAACCCTGACGCCAACCACCTAGAAGCACATCGCCAGGCGAGCCACCTACCACGCGCAATGTCTGGGGACAGCCAGCAACGTGCGAAGCCAGGCGAGCCAGCTACGTGCGATTCCAGGCGAGCATGCCACTTGCGAATTCTGGGGCGACCCTATAATACGCGCGCATCCTGGGTCGAGCCACATGTGCGCGAAGCTTGACGCCTGCAACCCGCAAGTCGTGCAGCAAGCCAACTGCGCGCGAACCCCGAAGCGAGACTGCTACGCGCAAGTCCTGAGGCGAGCCAGGTAGACGCGAATTCTGAAGCGAACCCTCTACGCGCAAATCCAGAGGGCAGCCAACAACTTGCGAATCCTGGAGCCAGCCAACTACGCGCCAAATCTGAGCCGAGCAAGCCACGGGCGAATCTCCAGGCGAACAAGTACGCGCGAATCCTGAGCGAAGCCTGCTACGCGCGAGTCCTGCCATCAACGGTTTCGCGCGAATTCTGGGCCGAGCCATGTACGTGAGACCCCCGAAACAAACGAATACACGCGAATCTTGGGGCCAGCCAGCGACGCGCGAAACCTGAAGCGAGACAGCTACAGGCGAAGTTGATTGCTCAGGGCACGCGGCAAAACACGAGACGCCTCAGGCGGCAACATGACCTCCGAAAAAAACGGAAATCTTGGAGGCACCGGCGGTCCCCAAAACGCACGAAAAGTACACCAAAAAAGACACGCCGAAAATTCGTCGACCCCCCCGAGAACCGACGACAGGGAGGCCCCCCCCAAACTTCCGACGCCGTGGCGTTTCAACACAGAGACCCCGAATCGCACGGCGTCTTTCCCATGGGCGCCCGCAGGGGTAGTTGCGCCTACCCCTGCGCGGCTGCCTGCCCCCCCCCTTTCGCAAAGCACTTAGCGCAACCATCCCCCAAGAGACGCCCCCGCCCCAGTCGTCGTCTGTCGCAGGCACAGTCGAAGCCCGCCGTTACGAAACTCTCGTAGAGTGCGCTGGTTGGGTTGTGGGGGGGACGGTGTCTCTAAATGCTTTGCTCGGAGGGGATGCCTAAACGGAAAACGCGACTCCTAGGTGTCCCCCTCTACAATTACCAGCACCGGCATGCCACCTGGAATCTGACACCCACTGGAAAAATGCAGTCCGGATATACGATGCGACCCTAATCAGGGGTGGTCCTCGTCCTCGTTCCTCCTCCTCCTCCTCCTGCCCGTGCCGCAGTAGAGCAATTACCCTCAACATAATTGCATGGCGTGGTGGAGGAAGTAACGCAATCCACACTCAGGAGGTTCTTCGAATCACAATCCGAATTGAAACATTGCATCGTCACCAAGCACGAGGGAGAAAGAGGAGGGAAGATAATATGTAAGTGTACCCGGAAGACTCGGAAGGAGGAAAAGGGTGTGTCCATGAGCCCCCGTCACGCCCCGAAGGGCAGCAACGGGCTCACTTTGCTTCAAAAACTTGCCCAACGGGGATGAGGGATAAGGGATTCAGCTGGATTCTGACGCCCATCACCGCTTACCACAAAACGTCGTCAGGCATCCCTGAGGGACTCGTCATCGTCGTTGTCGCAGTTGTTGGTGCCGTCGTCGTCGTCGCCGTCGCCGTCGCCGTCGCCGTCACCGTCGCAGTCGCCGTTGCCGTCGCCGTCGCCGCCGCCGCCGCCGTTCCCGTCGCCGTCGCCGTCACCGTAGCCGTCGCCGTAACCGTCGCCGTCATCGTCGTCGGCGTCGTCGGCCGTCGTCGTCGTCTCCGTCGTCGCCCTTGCCCTTCGTCGTCGTCGCCGTCGCCGTCGCCGTCGTCTTCGTCCGTCGTCGCCCTTGCCCTTCGTCGTCGTCGTCGTCGTCGCCGCCGCCGACGTCGTCGCCGTCGTCGTGGCCGTCGCCGTCGCCGTCGCCGTCGCCTTCGCCGTCGCCGTCGACGCCGCCGCCGCCGTCGCCGTCGCCTTCGCCGTCGTCGTCACCGTCGCCGTCGCCCTCGCCGTCGCCGTCGCCGTCGTCGGTCGTCGCCGTCGTCGTCGGTGTTCGTTGTTCGTCGTCGCTCTCGCCCGTCGTCGTCGGCGTCGCCGTCGCCGTCGTCGCCGCCGCCGTCGTCGTCGGCGGCGGCGCCGTCTTTCGAGCCGATCGTTGTCGCATGTCGCCCGTCGGCACATTCCACACGCGCTGTCGGCACAATCCACGCCCCTCGTGCGGGGCGCGCCGAGAAAAATGCACACGCCCGAGCGATGGCAAGCCACAAGTCATGTCCCAGGACGAGTTCGAATCAATTTCTCGAGTCGGATCCAGCCGTGGGCACTAGGGCGCCCCTCAAGGCCCAGAAGCGCTCCAAAACCTCAATGCCTGATCAGAGGTTGTCAGACGTGACCCTGCCCGAGGTGTCCCCAGCTTGGCGCGCCCACAGTGGAGCCCCTTCGGCCCTCGGGGACTCGATCCTCCAAAGCTCGAAGCGGCACTGGCGACGACGGACCCAGGCCAGAACTTCGATGCGGATCCAGCCGCCACGAGGCCGGGAGGCGCCCCAGACACCTCGATCCTCGGGTCCTCGGAGCTCGAAGTCTCCACATCCTCCAAGCTCGGCCGCCGAGCCTCGACTCCTCAGAGCTCGAAGCGGCGGCCGCGACAACAACAGGGAGGCCCTCCGCCGCCGCAGACCCTCGGTGCTCGGCCCTCGAAGCCTCGACATGCCCTAAGCTCGAAGCCTCGAGCCTCGATGCCTCGAAGGGCGGCGACGACGAGGAGGCCGATACCTCAAGCTCAAAGCCTGGAGCCTCGTGAGGGGGAAAGTTTGGGAGAGGGGAGCGGCTCAGACGGGGAAACATCGACCTGGAATCGGCGATGCATCGCCGAGAGTCCGGTGATAAACCCCCAGCAGCGGTCCTCGCATGCTCCTGGGCAGGGCGGGCTGCCAGACCCTCATCCGCAATCGATGGGCGATCGAGGCATCCCCCCCGAGCCTGTCGCCAGCCCGTGGCTCTCGGGCCATGGCTCGGGCCTCCGGCGCCCGTTCGGGGAGATATTTGGCACACCGGGAGCGCTCTCGGCGAGGCGCAGCAGCTGAGACGCACTCCCAGGCTGGAAAGCCGCGGAGGACCATCGGAAACGTCCGAAGACCTCGCCGAGAGCACCCCCCCCCCAGAGCCTATGACCCCCCTGACGTTGCTGCGGAACGAATCTCGAAGCGGCGGCGGCAACGGCAGCAGCGGTGGGTGTCGGGGCACAGGGCGCAGCGGTCCTTCGCGGGGGCCTGCACCGCGGGCCAGCGCGGTGAGGAGAGAGAGGAGAACTCCTCGGAGAGAGCGTGATCCACCGCCGCTTCACTGTGGAAAATTCCCCCCCGTCTTCCTCGGGAACCCTGGGGGTCCCCCCCTCCGAAAATCCCCCCAACGCTCGAACTTCTCCCCCCCCTCCGTTCCCCCAGCACCCCCCCCCCCTCCCCCCCTCCAGAGAACTGGGGAGCGCCACTAGCGGTTCGAACCCCTCTCCCCCAACTCGCCGCCGGCAAAGGACTCCCGGGTCCCCACCAGTCCCCACCACAGTCCTCACCACCGCGCTCACCACTGTCCCCACCACTGCCCCCACCACAGTCCTCACCACCACTGACTCTCCAGTTGGCTCCCTCCTCCCCTCTGCACCCGCGCGCCGCACAACTGTCTGCTCAGGCGGCCTTGGCGTTCAGCAGCGGGTCCGCGATGTCGGTCCTGGAGGAGGATACCAAGGACGACCTTGGCCATCTGATCGAAGCGGCAGGCCTCGGCGAGCCCGCGCTGCGCACCTACCTCACGACCAAGCAGCTGAAGTTATGAGACGCCGCTGCGAAGCTCGGCAAGCCCCTTCCGCATGAGGGGCCCATCGAAGGACTCGAATAGTCCAGATCCTGGACAGAGGGCCGGACCTTCGCAGAATGGGTCGTGGCCGTCATTCGCTACTCCTGGGCTGGCTTGCTGCACGGCCGCATCACAGTCGCGTCTGTGTTGAATCACATCGACAAGGTCACGCGGCTGGTGGCGGACACTGCCAGCCCGGCTCCGCTGGCCGAGAGGAACGCCCTTGCCTACGACCAGCTGGTCTGGAGCACCGCTTGGGCTGAAGCCAAGCGCAAGGCCGACCCAGCGGCCTTCGCAGCAGCTATGTCGGGTGACAAAGAGGACCTGGTCACGCAGGCAGAGAAGCAAGCGAAGGAGGTCAAGCTCAACGCCCCCAGCGCGAGCACCAGGACCCAGCGGAAGCCAGGCGCGGTCCACTTCTGCTTCAGGCACTTCTCGGGCAAATGCGACATGCACGAGCGCGGCAAGACGTGCGTCTTCCACCACGAATGCCCGCGTTGTGCCAAGACGCAGGAGGGCTGCCCAGCGAACCGCATCAAGCCGCTAGGCCTGGAGCTGATCAAGACCAGGGACAAGCGTGCCCTGGAGGAGCGGGCCGGCGGCAACGGCGGCGCCGAGGGCGGGCACCCCTGGTCGCGCGGCCGCGGCGCGGAGGACTGGCTTGAAGGCGGGCGGGCACAGCGCAGGCGCTCCCGCTCCCGCAGCCGTGGGCTCGCGCCACCCAAGCGCGAGTACTCGGGGTGCCCAGCCGCCGGGGGGCCCCCGCTAGCGGCCGGGGCCCGCCCCGCGGTGGTTAGGAAGGCGCCCGAGCGAGCCGCCGCCGCGCCGACGGCCGCGCCAGCAGACCGCGAGGCGGCGGCGCCGGGGGCCGCTTTGCGCACAGGCACGCACGAGGCAGCGGTCGCCTGGGCGCAGTCGGCCTGCGTCGCCCTGCCTGAGCCAGGCGCCCAGCAGGAGCCATCGATCAGGGACGCAGTGACAATGCGTTCCAGGCTCGGGGCTGGTCTGCCGGCGTTCCAGAAGCAGCAGCGGGCGAGGCTGCAGAGTTGGCGCCAGCATTTCCTGCAGACAGGAAAGCAGCAGGCGCGGGTGGACCCCATGCCGGAGAGTGTGCGGCACAAGCGCTTCAAAGCCCCTTGCTCGATGCCCTGCTCCGGGCAGTTCGCCATGGCGACGCGACGCTCTCATCCGACCTGCAGCGCGGCTTCCACGCGGCCGGAGACACCCCGCCGTCCAGGACATGGGCGCCTCGCGCGGAGGCTGACCCGGCCCCGCTAGCATCGATTCTGGCGCCGGCGCGGCGCCGCCAGGATGAAGGCCGCATCAACCTTGCCAGCGAGCACCGGGCAGAGCTGCGGCACGCCGCCCGTAACCAGGTCGAGAAAGAGCGGTTCGAGATCGTCCGCGGCCGCTCCGTGTCTCACATCGTCGAAAAAAACTCCGGCTAAACCTCATAGTTTTTGTGGATACATTGCTCTTCGGGGTGGCGCAAAGCGACAAAATCAGAGGGCGTCAGGGATCGCGCGCCGGCGGCGTCGCATCCGCGACGCGCCTCAACGAGAAAATGCACCTGATGGGCGCGGACGGCGCCACGGCGCTCGCCCGGGCAACGGCCGCGGTGCACCCGCGTAATCCCTTGGCTCTGGCCAAGGTGGTTCGGCGGAAAATGTTATATCAGGCCGGCCTGCGACCTGAGCACCGCAGGTATTTTGTCTCCTTCGTAGTCGACGTTGGCAGGGGAGAGACCGTGGCGATCGCGCCAAGATGCATGACATGGTGGGCGGGCACAGCCACAACAATGTTCTCAGCTGCCCCGTGCAGTGGCCGTTGTGGCCAGGCGCTCTTTGGGCATCTAATGCGACCGCCGCGTCGACGACGTGGTCCACTGCGCGCCGGTGCACCTCGCGGGCGCAGAATTCGAGCTGCTCTGCGACCTCCACCGGGCCCTCGGGTTCGAGATTGCCGGGCAGGCGGACCCTGGGGACAAATTATTCGCCCTCCGCGCGGGCGGTGCGGTGCAGGGCGCTGGGCTCCACCAGCCGCCGCCGAGTGGCAACCCACTGGACGCGCTCGTCCCCTGGGGCGTTCCGGCTGAAAAAGGGCGAGCTGCTCGCCAGGCGCCCCACTAGGCTGGCGGGCCGCCTCGCATGGGCATTCTCCACGTCGCGGGGCAGAAGCGGCGGCGGCGATCTTCCTGCGTGTCCTGTGCGACCAGGCGCACGGGGAGAGCTCTGCGACCGGTCGCCGGTTCCGCGCGTCCATCGACGGCCTCGCGGATATGCTCGCGAGCCCGGAGGGCGCCCTTCGACGGCCGGTGCTCCGCAAGCCGCAGGCGCGGCCCCGCTGCGTCTCGATCGGCGACGCAAGAGGCCGGGGCGAGCCCTACGGCACAGAGGCCCTCGGGGCGAGGGCGTCCTGCGCAAGGACATGAGCGGCTCAGCGACGCTGCGCTGCCTCGCCGCGGAGGTCTGGCGCGAGGTCCGGGCGCTGCGCGCGCGCCCGTGGATCGCCCGCGTCCCGTCGGAGGAGAACCCCGCGGACCCGCTGGCCCGCCTCGGCGCATCGGCTGCCGCCCCCCTCGCCCAACTGGCGCCGGGTAGCCTCGCCAGATGCACCCGCGCAGTGGCGCTTCGACCCGGCGGTTTGGGGCCGGTGATAGCCCGGGCGCGCCTGATCGGCGCGGGGCAGGGCTGTTCGCAGCCTCTTCGCGCTCGTCTCCGGGGCAGGGCTCGCGCCTCCCTGGTCTCCCTGCCGAGGCGGGGCCTTCGGGCGCCCCCAGGCCATTGCGGGGCAAGGCCCGCGCCCCCCCTGTCTTCTGCGCGGCGCGGGGCCTGCGCGCCCCCGTCGCCCTCTTCCGAGGCTCGGCCCGCGCCGCCCCCCATTTTCACGTCGCAGCCGCGTCTCGGCGAGGCCGCCGCCCGAACGGCCTCGGGCAGCAGTTCGGCACCGACGCTATATGATGAACGTGATTAAATAGCACAGGACATGCCACATCATCGTCATGTACGTCTTCATCGGCATCGCCGTCGTCAACCTCGTTCCTTTCGCCCCCCCCCCCCCCCCCCCCCTCGTTCGCAGCGACGGGGGGCCCGCGGAGCAAGCGGGGAGGGGTCGCAGACTTGGCCGGCGCGCTGGGCAGGCTTGCCTGGCGAACGGGACCAATCGCCAGTCCTTCCCCCGCGGCTCGGGCGGGGGGCCCGGGGTCCGCTGGGTGGAGTCTTGCTGCCTGCTGCTGCCCGCCCGCTCCTGCCCCCCCCCGCCCCCTCCCCGGCCCCCCCTGCTCCTCGCCCCCCCCCCCCCCCCTTCCCCCGCGCCTGCCCAGCCAGAACGATATCGTCGGAAGCTGTGTGTTGCGGGGTGGAGGTGCGCGCGCGAAGCTCGTCCAGCGCCCCGCGCTGGTTCGCTGATCCTTTTGGCCGTTGGTCGGGGGCCCGCCTGCCGTAACGCGTGACGCTCTCCATCCGCGTTGTCTCGCTGCCGCTTGGTTCGCATCGGCTCTTCGGGCAGTAGCCGTCACGCGTGACAGGCAAGATCTGGCATCTCCAGTGGGAGCTAGGCGGATGACCGTCGTCGCGCGCGTCAGCGCGGCCCCCTATGCGTCGGTGCTCCAGCGAGAAGCATGCCCAGACACCCAGGCGAAGCAATAATGTGATACGTTCATCATCTCACCCTTGCGGGAGTTCCTGGAACCTCAGGCCCAGCCTGAGCCGTCTTGGAATCCACGGGATCGGAGGTTCGAGGCGTGCTCCTCCCTCTGCGGTTGCACGCCTTCGCACGCGCATGCGTCGACGCGCCGCCCTGGCCCCATAGAGTTAGGATCTGCCGCCAAGCCTCGGGAGGGGCGACGCGCCCGGCCGCCCCGGCTGATTTCCGGCAGCGCGCAGCTGCGGCATCGGCGGCTCTCCGCCTCGCGAGGCGGTCGAGGGCTGCAAGCATGCGGACTCCGTCACTCGCTTCCCAGACGGCGGGAAGCTGGCACGCGCCAGCCCCCCCCCCCCCCCTGGAGTCGCCATGCCCCGTGCAGGGCCAGCCGTTCGCGGTGTCCTAGGGGCGTTTACATCTAGGCTCTCGTTCTGCGCTCGCTGCGGCGGGGGGCTGACCCCGGCGAGTTCGAGTGACGCATCGCTGCGTCCCCACCGCTAGTGAAGTTGAGGCCTTGGCTGCTGCTGGTCAGAGGTCGTCCCGATACAGATGTCCTCAGAAACCTGGAGTCGGCGATCTCGCTCGCGCAGGTTGCGACAAACGCCGTGTGCGAGTTCGTCGGAGCCGATCCGGGCAAACGCCGGAGAACAAGTGTGAACGCTCCTCCGCGGGAGCAGTTGGACATGTTGCGCACTGCCCAGCAGGAGGGTTTCGATGCCCATGCCATTGTCGACGTGCTTATGCTTAAGAAGATTGGGGCGTCCGTCGGTAGCTCCCTTACCATATACCTGTCGTCCGCAAGGACGGTTCAAGCCTTTTGCGAGCCCTTGAATTCACCATTTCTGCCGACGACTCCGGCGACTGTGCACCGATTTGCTGCACTCATGACCCATGAAGGGACACTCAAATCGATGTTATTTGCGTGGAGGAAGTTCCATCATTTGGCAGGCCTCCATATTGGCCCGTAGAGCACTCCCCGGTGTTAGTTGACATTCGGACTGGGGCGCGAAAGCTGCAACCGCCAGCGCTGCCCAGGCCGCGTATCAGGAAAGACCTCTTGCGGAAACTCTTGGCCCACTGTGCCGGCACTGGGAATTTCGTCCGTGGCATGGGCTACATGTTGGCATACGCTGTCTTGCTCAAGGTTCCGTCGGAATTCCTCGGTCAGCTGAAGCCGTGTCTTCTGTGCGTGGACCGGGGCACGGTGCGCTTCGGCCCCATCAAGCGCAAAGGCCAGCTGTATGCGCAGTCCACGCTTGAAGCCAAGTTTGTCTGCGCCGCCGACCCTCTGCTCTGCGTGCACACGTGGGCCTCGTGGGTGCTCGCGGGCTGTCGCGACGCGGACGCAGATGTGTACCCGCCTGGGTTCTATGCCAAGTTCCTCGCCAGCCTTCGCGAGGATTTGGTGGCCGTCGGCACGCCGGCGGCAGAGGCATCTGGGATTGCGTCCCATGCCTTCCGCCACGGTGCTGCAATGAACATGCACGAGACCGACGGGTTCGCAGCCGCGTGCGCCCGCGGGGGTTGGCGGAGCGGAGCAGAAACTTCTTACATTCCCCCCGCCGCCATTGAGTCGTGAGTCTTGGCTGAAGCGCTGTGCGCAGCCTCCGACGATGAGGGGGTCCTGACCTGATGTTCTCCCGTTTTCCATTGGTTTCCATTGGTGGCACCTTTCCGAGGTGAGTGCCAAAGGAAAACAAACGATCATCTCGGTGACGGAGGCACGGGACCAACTGCTGGTGTCTCTCCGACTCTCCAGTTGGCTCCCTCCTCCCCTCTGCACCCGCGCGCCGCGCAGTTGTCTGCTCAGGCGCAGCGCGATCGAGCCCGCCCGATCGGCCCTGAAAGGGTGCGCGGTGGCACCTTTCCGAGGTGAGTGCCAAAGGAAAACAATCGATCATCTCGGTGAGGGAGGCAGGGGACCAACCCCCACAC